TCTCTCTTTCTCTCTCTCTGTCTCTCTCTCTCTTTCTCTCTCTCTCTCTCTCTCTCTCTCTCTCTCTCCGTCTGTCTCTCTCTCCCCCCCCTCTCTCTCTCTCTCTCGTAAATGTGTTAAAATGTTGACTCTGACAATACGATAATAATAATATAGTACCCACTCAGACACAGACACATTGTTCTACTACTTTCATGTTGCTCATTTCCAAATCGTGCAAAATTGTATTGTTTCAATGAACATTGCCACACTGTCAGGTTATTTAAAAGGCGGGACCTCAGAATTTAACATCCATCTCCAATATAAGACTGAGCCTAGTAGGAAACTTCGCGTAGTGCCCTTGCTTGGAACACAACATCAAATGGAGTCCGATACGTGTCCGATAGCCTATCCATTAGACTGTCGATCCACGCTCTCTTACCATCTAAATTCTTCAGAGGTTCTTGAGAATACTACGTGCAACCATAACAATCCATTCTAATCATTGGGATAGGCATAAACACACTTACATCTGTACACTCACAAAAGAAATACAACTGATTCCAGCATAAACGACGGCGTTCCGTCATCAGCACTTTCATATACAGCCACTTCAGTAACGTTGTCTTCTCCCAACGGACCACGAGAAGTGCAGACGTGCCAGTCTGGTATAACTGCTCTCTCTCTCTCTCTCTCTCTCTCTCTCTCTCTCTCTCTCTCTTTTTTTTTTTCTTTCTTTCTCTTTCTACCCCCCCCCCCCGACACACACACTTTCTCTCTTTCATTTTCTTTCCCCCTCCTCTTCTGTTTGTCTTTTTGAGGTGAGCGGGAGGGGGGGTGCAACTTTATCGTCACCTGTGACCCTTTTCTCACGCACTCTTTTGAATAATGATATTATCATTACATTATTATAATTATTGTCTAAAACCTTCGTGGCTCGATGTTAAATTAAATGGCGAAGGATTCTGAGCTGTTTCTATACTGCTAGTGCTGCAAACCAGGTGACCCCTCCTCCTCAAAATTGTCCTGTGGGTCGCCATTAGATCTACATGATTGTTTGCTTTCCCACAGTAACAACTCTATAATGTTTGTGTAATCATCGATTTTTACCCACGATCTTATCACAGTCACATGTGGTGACCTCCCATTGACCTCATCAATAACAGTGTTCAGTCTTGCTACCCGTTGTCTTGGATGGCGGAGCTGTGGTCTGGCTTGACAGGTGCGCTTCACAGTTTGTGGGACTCTGTGTCGCCATCAAAAGTTGAGCAAGTTATCATACGAGAAGTACAGATGAACCCGCCAGGTGCCAGAACTTTCGTGCGGCTCGCAGGCATTTCGGGTGCTATTGCAGTGTCGCTTGGTGCATATGGATCTCATGGTGAGGAAAAAACATACCTCTTTCTAAGATACCCAAACTTAAATTTTTTTTTAAACGAAGTCGAAGTGGCTAGCCGTACTTAAGGACGGCTAGACTGCCAGTCTAGCCGTACTTAGATCTAGGTTTGGCCCTATCGACTCAAACCTGTTAAATACACAGGTCTCATTAGATCTAGATCTAGATCTAGTAATTATTCAGGTTCAAATACATGCAGGTCAGTAAGGCACCTTTTGGTTTTGTCTGAAATACAAACTTTAGTTTAGGCTGTTAGGCATTGCATGGTGATCTTATAAATACTTTAGGCGTTTAGCACGTTAAATTCCCAAAGTCTTCTAATCCCCAACTCAGACCTTCAAAACTTTGAACTGGGCCTAAAATGCGCAAAGTACCGTAATTTTGTCATGAACAGATCGTTCAACAGTGTTTTCGGTCTTCCATCATGATTTTGGAAGCCATTGAGTATATAATCTTGATGGCTATAGAATTTAGATCCAGATCTAACATAATAGTGGTCGCTCATTTGAAGAATTTAACGTGCTAAAGTATAAGATCACCCTAAAAATTTCATTTACAATTCAGCTATCAATATTAAGTACGGCTAGACTGACAGTCTAGACGTCCTAAGTACGGCTAGCCTGTATTTATCTTAGGCCCTATTAACATCAGAAAACAGGAGGTTTATAATACATGCACTGTCATCAAGGCACCTGGTTTCATCTCAAATACAAATACTTTAGGTACTGCACACTAAAAATTTATATTTGCAATTCAGTAGGCCTATTTTTTTTAAATCGTCAGTCTAGCCATCATTTAAGAATTAAGTACGGCTAGACTGGCAGTCTAGCCGTCATTAAGTATGGCTAGCCTCTTCCATTAAAAAAAATGGAGTGTGATTATTCTCACCCGGGTGAGGATTTTTTTTTATAAACTGGAAAAATTCTCACATGGGCTGAGAATGAAATTGATACTATTCTCAACCCGAGTGAGAATAACGACAGTCTACTATTCTCACCCGGTTTTTCCGTTACCGCTCTTTTTCTTTCTTTTCGATCATCCTAGGTCTTATAGGACCCCTGCTGTCACTGATCGCTCCAGGCGACAAAACTTGCTTCCCTCTCTCACTCCGCTGAGCCCGCGAGGCGGGAGGACTTCCGTAACGAACGACCACTATGAGACAGAGCAGAATTGAGGGCTTGGGGTAGGGGTAGGGGTTGGTGTAAGGGTAGGGTTAGGGGTAGGGTTAGGGTTAGGTCTAGGCCTCTTCTTTATTGTGTTTGATGGGGTGGTCGCTTGTTACGGAAGTCCTTCCCGCGAGGCAACTAAAATCGCCAACGGGCGGGCCAGCTCTCGAGCGCGGGAGGTGACTATTGTCGATTTGGGGGAAAACCTTATCTTTTGAGTAAATAGCATCAGCTTTTGTTGCTGTTTATGTTCTGTAATGGAAAATTTTACTCCTGAATGGTTTAACCTATCAAAATCAAAATTAAGAAAAAAATTATAAGAAAAAAAATGTGCCAAGGGTCAAGACACTGCGTGCCTTGAAAATAATTATGGGTTATGTTAGGGGAGGGGTAACACGTTTTTTGGGGTTGTTCATGAAAACAAATGCCATTTCTAACATTACAATGACAAACTATTACACATTAATTCATTATTTCATGAACAAACAGTTTTCAGTTTTAAGGCTATTATTTTTTTTAACATACTACTCTGGGAAGTGAATTCCTTTCTGAATTCAGAATATACGCTTGTCTAGGGTTTTGGTGAAGATATATTTTATGCGTGCATACTCTCAAGATTTTAAAAAATGAAACAATAACTATCCCCTCTGGAGCTCAGAACAATTGACAGGCGCTCTGGGGAAGGTCACGAACGGTCACTTTTACAATTCACAAATTATTTTGTATCATCCTATTAGTATTATTAGCCTACATATGTAGATTCTAGGCCTACCCGTTCTCAACACCCAGGTAGGCCAAAGAATAAAAATGCATTGCATTCTCAGACCGAGTGAGAATAATATTCATTTTATTCTCACCCGGGGTGAGAATAACAATATATGATATAATATTAATAAAATGGAAATTCCTCACCACGGGTGAGAATAATATATATTTCTATTTTCACCCGGGGTGAGAATAATGACAGCATAAAAAAAACAAGAATTTGATTGGAATGATGTGATATTGTATAATTGTGTGTATCTAGATCTAGGTGATCTAAGACTATATCTAGACGTGAATAGTCACTGGGATAGTTTTTAACTTTTAATTTTTAAAAGTTTCTTATTAATTATTAACTTGGTTATCCCAGGCCAGGAGTGATGCAAGAAGTTTCAGAAAATTTACAGCTTGATAGTTAATTCTTCCGTGAGACCTAGCAGTTTGTTGTCAGCCTGCGGTTGAGAATGTACTTAACCTGAAAATTTGAATTTTAAAAAATTACAGTTTCGTAACCCTATCTGTACGTCGTGTTTTACTATCATATCAATACGACATGGGGAACTCTGTGCCGCCGCTTTCAAAGAGGAAATTCACTCTTTGCATAGCGGTCTGTCAAAATGATTCTTTGAGAAACACTGGAAGTTTCAAAGAGATCTCCATACTAGAAGTAATCTAAAATGTGAAAAATACAACCCCGGGGATGCACAATGACATTAGGGCATACAGATAGGGTTAATAGATCTATGTGGTATCAGGTGCATGTGCTCAATATATATATTTTGTTGAATTTGAAATTCTAAAAATGTTGAAAAAAGCTTATAAAAAAAACAATACAGGTGTACACTTGTTAAAAAATTAGAACAACAGTGTTAAATTCTCTCTCTCCTGTAAAAAAATTTTCTTTCTGGGCTTTGTATTTAAACAGCTCGCTGAGGTTGTGTTGAATGCTTCTCGAAGGTAGACAAAATTGTTTTAAAATATATATTTACTTTCTGTCATGGTAGGACATTCGAAAATTCTAAAGTTTTTAGTGTCGAGAGTATGAATATACTACTGGTATTATTATAGGCCTACTATTATTATTCTTGTTATTATTTATATATGATAATGATCGTTTTTCTAATAGTTATTTTTCTTCTTCTTCTTCTGATCTTGGTTAGTCTCTTGCAATTGTAATTCATCTCTTGGCTTTACCTGTCACTAGCTTTGTGACGAAGACACTTTTTGTACCTTCGCAGGACACCCCCTGCCTGATTACTCTTGATAAAAATTTTAAGGTTCCCCCTTCGTCTCTGCTTAAAGTTTAAAAGTGCACAGTTTCCTCTTTTGAAACAAATTATATTATGAATTTTTTTTCTTCTGACTTTCATTGTCTGTAGATGTCAGTCTCATCATGTGTACACCACTGAAAAGAAATAATTCTGTGACAGAGTTAGATGAAAGAGGAAAGTAGGATTTTTCTTGTTACAAATTATTAAGATACAGTGGAGCCCGCTTAAATTGAACACAGTCAATGTAAAATCATGGGGAAACCTACCGAAAATAGAATGCCTGATTTTTTTTTCTTTACCATTTGAGCAGTCTCTCTAAACCAAATGCACAGCTTAACTGCAGAAAGTCTGTCGGTCTTGCCGATTTTGGTTTAAGCAGACTCCACTGTAATAATAATTATACTACTACTAGTCATAGTAATATTAACTGCATATATTATAGCACATATCCACGCTCTACAGTGTGCTCCATGAACCCATGACCCTGTGGTTGCGATTCTGCTGTGAACTGACAGTGCTGTCTTTGTTTTCTCATTCTCAGTTTTCCGTCACAAGGAAGTAGATCCTCGCCTCAAAGAAGTAAGTTTGTCTGTGTGTTAGTGTGTCGGTATGATTGTCTGTGTGCTGGTGAGTCTGTATGTCTGTGCAGTGTATGCAGACTGCCAACCAGTAGGGTTCGAGTATGGCAACCTGTTTTGGTGTCAGAAAATATGTATTCGCTTTTTAAAAAAATATATTACTGCTCCTAACAGACTTGCTAATGTTGAAGAAGAGCTACTATGGACTGTCAAGCTCGGAAATGCAAATTTAATAATGAGCACAAAGTAGGCCTACAGAAGCTAATTGTATTTGTGCTCATTACGGTAGACTTTGTTTAACATTAAGCTATTTTAACTCGAAATTCCTGTACAAAGGAGAGGATTTCAGATCATTATTTTTTTTCCTCCTCTTTATTGTATGCATTGCAACTTCTCTGAGCACAAAATCTACACAACACAAAGAAATTCTCTAGTCTTGTGAAGTTTGTGTTATCAGGGTATTACTGTATAGAGATAAATATATATATGGACCACCTTTCACTGTTGTTGTGGTAATTATATAATTAGTATAAGATAGACTGGCATGTGCACAGACAGGCATATAGATCGCAGTGCAAACTTGAGAGAGGATGACAAGAGCTTTGTCGGTGTTGATACCAGCTGAAGTTTCATATGTCCAGGTGAAAGTGTTGAATAAAACACATAGATGCAAGGGGTTGCTTTAGCTTGAGATTGTTTTTGTTTTTTGTGTAATGGAGTTACCAATAGGAGTATTTTCTGTATCATTATTCATAATGGGATAACCAGTTTTAAATGTTTACGATACGTGGAACTTGTTTACCACTTGTAAATCTTTGATGTCAAAAGTAAGGGCTTGACCGTTGATAATCTTTGAAACTTTCATTGTCATCAGGGTTTATTGTCGGCAAGCAATTAAAGTGTTGTTCTAAGCCCAGACATAAAAACTCATCATTCAAGAGAAAAGACTGTTTCATTCTTGTCTTGCTTTTTTTTCAACATTTAGAACTTGAATTACAACACAATATTACTTGTGCTCTTGCAACTGATACAACAGATTAAGAAACTGCAATTTTTAAAAAAAGAAAGCATAAAAAGATTTGGCTCAGTACATCTAAACTGCTGGCTGACAATATGAATTTGATGTAACCCTCTTCCAAAACTCTCCCTCCTCCTTTGTTGAACAGACCTTCGAGATTGCCAACAAGTACCACTTCCTGCACTCATTAGCGCTGCTTGCTGTGCCGCAAACACCCAGGCCTGTACTGGTGAGTCAGCCGACTGTAGATAGCCGTTATATGATCTCTGTATCCATGTAGCCATGAAGGGGAAATATGAGCTTGTCGTGTTGTTATAATAGACCACTGGAGAAACTCTTTTCTCCCATGTCTAAAGCTTTTGTTAAATATAGGGATCTTTTCTAAATGTGAAATTTAGGGTTCTTTTTTGAAGTTTCCTTTTTTGTATTGAAATATAGTGTTTTTATCTGAATGAGAAATATGGGGATTCTTCTTTAAATTTGAAATATCTACTTTTTTAAAATGTGAAGTATGGGTTATTTTTTTATAAATATAATGTGAATTACAGTGTAGCAAGCACGTACGAATACATACATAGTAAAAAAAAAAGCATGTATGGAACAGAGATTTCTTGGTACCAATTTTTACTTTTATTTTATTCTCTGCATTCAAAACACATACGTAGCAAAAAAACAATTCAAACATAGTGAAAAAATTGGTGTCGGTGGGGGTAGATGCAAGTCGTTCATATAGACTATAGAGTACACACGACATTGTAAAAGTGTAGGTCAACATCCTCTCTGCAAGCTGAGGGCAATAGTGTAGGTCAAAGATGTCTTTATTTTGTTCATCATTCACAAAAGTGTTCAGCGATAGATCTAGCTTCCACACTTCAGTTGTGTGTTGATAGTTTGCGCCTTGTGAAGACATGTCATTAAGTGTGTCAGTGTACGCTGACATTCTTCAAGATTACACATTTTGCAACAGCTTGCTGACGTTCTGCAGAAGTCGGTGTGAATGAAGTTATAGAAGATTAATGAAAAATGAGATTCTTTTGTAAGTCTAACGCCAGCTGTCTAAACATGGATTTTTCTAATTTTTAAGTATAGTTATTTGTGAGTGAAATACCAGTTTCTTTTCCTAGTATTTTTATGAAAGTCCCAGCTCGTGTTTTATCTTGCCCTGGGTTTGTTTTTACATTTTTTGCTTTTTGTAGTCCTCGTATGTTTGTTGGTTTTTTTCCCCTGGTATTTTTACTCATTTCTAATCTTGTTTGTGTGGTGTGCAGACAGGGACGTTGCTGAGCTCTGGAATCATTCTGTTCTGTGGCAGCTGCTACTACCACGCCATGACAGGCAACAATACCGTCAGAAAAGTCACGCCCTATGGAGGCTTTCTGCTCATCTTTGCCTGGCTCTCCGTGGCCCTTTGAAAGGTTGACCTCACCTTGACCTATTGACTGAAGTGTCGTTATGATGTCACTTGTGGAAAACTTTGTTGTGGTTGACGTACGTGTATGAAATTGCCATCTTGATTTTTTTGAGCGAAACATGTTACCTTGATGGATTTGTCAAAAACTCCTTCTTATTTGACTTTTGTAAAACATCTTGATTCTTGATGGATTTGTGTCAAATATCAGTTGGTAGTTTGGTATAAAATGCCATCTTGATGAATTTGTGTCAAATGTCAGTTGGTAGTTTGGTATAAAACGCCATCTTGATGAATTTGTGTCAAATATCAGTTGGTAGTTTGGTATAAAATGCCATCTTGATGAATTTGTGTCAAATGTCAGTTGGTAGTTTGGTATAAAACGCTATCTTGATGAATTTGTGTCAAACATCAGTTGGTAGTTTGGTATAAAACGCCATCTTGATGAATTTGTGTCAAATGTCAGTTGGTAGTTTTTAATAAATTTCATGCTGTTGGGTCTGTGAAACACCTCATCGTAGTGGTATTGTTGATTAACTTGTGAATAAAATATAATGTCAAAGGTTCTGATTTTCCTGATAAATCAGGAAATCTGGATATATCTGAAATTATCTATATATTTCACAATGTAATATATTATGTGAAAATAGTGTTGATACAAGATTTATTAGACAATATGATACATTCATTTTGAGTCCGTGGGCGTGTTTCCATGGGGATAGAGAAGTTAGGTTGTTTTTTTTCTAACCAGTCGGCTCCTTTGTAATGTTGATGTAGAACTATTCTGTAAAGGCCTACTGTGTGTGGGCTAGATTCTTAATATAATGGACTAGATTCTTTATATAATTGCTTCCTTTGACTTGTGCTCAGTTCTGTTTTGTTACAATCTTTTGAATGCGGGTGAAGGTACCTGAACAATAAACAGCCAAAACCGCATAGTGTGTGGCCCATGATTGATTTTGAACGTTGTTTTCTGTCAGGTATTGCTGTTGTTGTTGTTGTTGCTGTTGCTGTTTTTGTTGTTTGGTGTTGTTGTTGTTGATGACGTTGTTGTTGTTGTTTTTGATGTTGTTGGTAGGCCTGTTATTATACTTTTTATTTTAGCAGGTGGTGGTGTTGTTGACATTGTTGTTGCTTGTGGTAGTGGTGTTGTTGTTGTTGTTGACATTGTTGTTGTTTGTGGTAGTGGTGTTGTTGTTGTTGATGACATTGTTGTTGTTTGTGGTAGTGGTGTTGTTGATGACATTGTTGTTGTTTGTGGTAGTGGTGTTGTTGTTGATGATATTTTTGTTGTTTGTGGTAGTGGTGTTGTTGTTGTTCATGACGTTGTTGTTGTTTGTGGTAGTGGTGTTGTTGTTGTTCATGACGTTGTTGTTGTTGTTGTTGGTGGTGATGGTATTATTATACTTGTTATTTCAGTTGGTGGTGGTGTTGTTGTTGTTGCTGTTGGTGGTGGTGTTGTTGTTGTTGCTGTTGGTGGTGGTGTTGTTGTTGTTGCTGTTGGTGGTGGTATTGTTGTTGTTGCTGTTGGTGGTGGTGGTATTGTTGTTGTCATGTTTTTGCTGCTGTTGTTGTTGGTCGTGGGTGATTTGCTGGTTCTCATTCTCTGGTGTGGTTTGTTCCTTTTTTCCTATCAAACTTTATCGTCTTTCACGTCCTCCTTCTTTTCTTTGTATGTAACACTTCTAGTCTCGAGCAAAACTTTTTTTCTTTGGCGCTTATATATTTTAACCAATGTGTGTCGCAAGTGCTACTAAACTTAGTAAAACTGTAACTAAGTTGGTTTTGTTTGTTTGTTTTTGTAAAGTGTTTTACAGCGCTCGCAACTGCATAAGGTCATATGAGCGCGCGGGACACACGTAATAT